ACCAGGTACGCTTTCACCATTGTACAATGACTGATAGCTACTAGGATTCAGTTTTATTTCCCATTCTTGAGCAGATCAAACATCTTTATCTTGCTTCTCTTTTATTCCTCTCCAGTTACTTTATCTATACTTTTGAGTTTCTCATTTCTACCAGAATCTCAGACCACACTAGAATATATTCTCATAGATCAGTTATTTTATTTTTGCTGGAGTAACCTAGTAATACCATTGTGTTCATTGTGAAATATTGCTAAACTAGATCCTGCATGTTCTAAATACTCTTACTGATGTACTGGTATGTTCACGGTTGGGATTTTCCGGGAAAGAAAGTGTAGAGGAATTCTTTGCTGGTTTTCTGCCTTTGTAACACTGGCAATGATCTCCCCAGTCAACTCAGTGTGTTCAATGAGAAAATAAAATCCTGTCTAATTTCATCAGAATGATAACTTTGGAGTAATAAAGAATCTTCTATCATCTCCACATGAATATATTCTCTAATCATTCTGAATTCAACACTAGAGGTAGGGCCGGGGATATACCTCAGCAACACAGTGCCTGTCTGGCAAGCCTAATGCTCTGACTTCAATTCCTGACACCAAAAACAAACGCAAAAAACACTAGAGGTCCCTCTGAAGCATAGCCTTTACTCAAGGTGGTATAAGCTTTGTTCACGTGTGTCAATACGTGATTGTCATTAATTTACACTCTTCCTACTTGTCTACTGAGTCCCCAGATGGCACAGGAAAGTTTGACTCAAAACTTTGAGAGTAAAATATAATTCAGAAAATCATAGACTAAAAAGGATAGAAATATGTTGGCTCATGACTTTGGAGGAGGATGGAGATAGTGACAAAGACTCAATTCCTTCCTTGTTTTCAGCCATGTTCTAGACTTAAGATTTTAGATTTATGTTGCAGGCATATTCTAGATCTGTATTCAGTTGTGAAAAATAGCTTTCTCTGAATGAAGCTCTGTCCTGGAGGCTAAATGTTTCCTTGTATTCTCTGAAAACATTTTCCACGGATGTAGGAATATGTAAATTCTATGGATAGATATCTCAATGGATAAGAGTGTACTCCTGCAAGAAGTAACAACAGAGAACTAACCCTGATGCTACATTTCAGAAAAGGAATTAAAATAGAAAAACTTGCCGGTGGAAATAGAAGGGAAAAAGGAACTTAAAGTAATAACTGTAATGCATAGCTAGGCAAAGAATAATGGAAGTCTTAAATCTATGTCATGTTTTTTAGTGGAAGCTGGCCAGAAAGGCCTGTTTTGTTTAATACATCTACGAGTTACAGGAGGAGGAAATCCTGATGGAATAAGCGGGGATGAGACAGAAGAACGCTTGCTACATGTGGAGTTCCGCTTGCGCTTTTAGAATTTCTTTGGATCACCTTATTTTTCCAGTTACTATTTTTATTCTTTGGACGTCTTTCTTCCACTCTTTTCTACTTCTGCAAATGCTCTTGTTAAGTAAATAATGACATCATTTTTCAACCTAGGTCACACTTTCCACTTTATTAATCATATTGAATCTCTTTGCCATATTTAACAGAGTTGATCCCTCTCTTCTTGAAATGAACTGTTGGTGGGGCTTTTGAATCTATGCTATTTCTGCTTTTTTGCTGTCATTATTGCAACTACTTATCAGATTGTTGTTGGCCTTTCTTGTTTTGTGTGTCTTAGTAACTGACCCCGCAATAGTCTAATCCTTAATCCTCCTCTCTTCTGAGAGTTCACCTCACCAACATAAAGGTGATAGCTCCCAGATTGCAGTTCCGAGACTACACCACTTTTCTGAGCTCTGTACTCACTTTTCCAGTAGCCTTTATACTAGTTCCTGCTTGGTGGTAAATGATGCCAGATTCGAAATGGAACACACAGCCTGTCCTCTGCATCCGTGAGCTCTGCCTCTGCAAATTCAACCAATGGGGGACTGCATCTATTCAGACTAAAATCGCATTTGTACTGATCACATGGAGACATTCCTGTTTTGTTATTATCCCTTGAACAACACAACATAGCTATTCATATTTTAGTAGGTCCTATAAGGAATCTAGAGATGATTTAATGTGTACAGGAGGATATTTGTAGGTTATACACAAATACTGTGTCACGTACCTGCGACTTGAGCATCCACAGATTTTGGTGAGTGTGTGTGTGTGTGTGTGTGTGTGTGTGTGTGTGTGTGTGTATCCTGTAACCAATTCCTTTGACTACTGAAGGATGAATGTATTTCCACATTCTCAAAATAGCTTGTCTGCCTGTATTTGTCGGTTTGCCTGATGGCAGCAAATCATACCTATCAAAATCTCTGAAGCCCCTTGAACCTTCCATCTAGTATTCAGCTCCTACATGTAGTCAGTCATCAGGTCGTGCCCAGTCCACCTTCTCACTATCAAACTTATTTTTTATTCTCTTGCACTGCTGTCATTACAGATACACTCCCTGTAAATATCCTGTGGAGTATGGAGGGTTACCAGGAGGGGGCATAACATCAGGAAGAGAGAAGAAGTAAGAAGTTGCTACAGTATCTAAAAGGCAACCTGTTTGAATGACAAACAGATGTTGAGAAAATGTTTCTCCCAAAAAGTCCTATGACCTATGTTTAAGATTTTAGAAGAGAGATAAAGTAAATCTTACAAAAATTAATCAACTTATTATCATCTAATAGTGAAAAGCTCAATGTAATAATATGGGAATTACTACTGTAGAATTATGAGATTGTGCTATTGCTCCAGGATCACTAGGCATAGTGCCTGACATGTATAAATGATAGTCTTATAATATTTTTGATATAATGAGAAAAAGTTTGCATTCCTTGTTAGAAACTTTATACAGAATATCATTCTCCTTGCTTTAATGCGTGTAAGAATAGTTATTAAGAATCTGTAACAAAACTATCATACATGTGGTATTTGATAGAGAACCAAGGTTAATTTGAGGAATAGTTCTACTTATATAAGGAGGATACTTAATATAAATATATGTTATACTTTTGACGGTGTGTTACAGAAGTGCCTTCATTGTTTAGACAGTTTTAAAGTTAGAGAAAATATTATACCTAAAGCTTAGGACATCAACTTTCACATTAATGAACTGAAATTATCATTAGAGTTATTCTAAAAGTACTATGTAAGAAACAAGGATAATATATTTTTAGTGGGCTATGTTAAAAGGACATTTTAATACACTTCTTGGTTCTGTGCTATCTAAAATATTGCAAAAATCATCTCTTCTACTTTATCTCTTTTATTCTGTTCTTTTTTCTTGTTTTCCTTTAGTCCTTTCTGAGCAGAAGACTGGTTTAAGGAGCACAGGACAATGGGAACAAAGATAATGAGAAAAAAATCAGTGTCTTTTAAACTCTAAATTTATTATTTTTATTTCTTTACTAATTATTTTATTACTAGTTTGTTATTTATTAATCATTAATTTTTGAAAAGTCTCCAAAAGCAAAAGGAATAGCTTCTACTTATGTTCTCTAACTGTCTTACTGGCTAGAAACAGACACTTTAGAAGTTTGGAAGGTGATGCCAATTTTTAATCAAAAAATAAGTAGTAGCGACCTAGATGGTGAAAGGTTATTACAGGAGATTTTTATCAAAAAAAGGTGTCTGGTTGATACATAAAAGGCATGCAAACTTGTTTTTACCTGTACAACTACTAAATGTAAAGAAAAATAGCAGAAATTCCTCTAGTCATATGAAATTTCTTTAGTCATATGATTGTATATGCAATTGACCTTACTGGTAATGAAAAGTTTTATATTGGAATTTTAAAAATATTTTTTATACTGTGACATCTAAACTAGAATGTTGTGATAATGATAATAGGGAAATGGTTCAAGAAAAATAAAAGCAGATTTAAGTACCAGGATGAGGGGGTAGCTGTTACCCAACTGCTAAAATATTTTGAAAGAAAATCTTTAAAAAATGTAATTGAGAAGTTGTTGATTTATTTTAATTAAATTTGTTTCAAGTTGGTAAGAAACTTATTTTTGAGTTCAAGTGCAAATTTTAAAGTTAAAAAATAGTTGAATTGTATTATTGCAAGAACTTCATTATACAATGCTATGTGTCAGACTGTATATAACTGTATAATTTATAGTCACATTTCTTATCTGAAACTTGTTGTGTAGAAGTAATTCTAAATAAAAGCATACAAGATAATAGATGAAGATGTAATAGCGTAATAGGGCCTAAAGTAGACAAGAAAATGGGCATAATTTTTCTGATATTAGTGGCTATTGGATCACAACCTTGACCAAAATGTGCAGAAAGCATGAAAGCAGTCCTTATCTTGATGCATTAGAGCAAGGAGCAGTTTCACATTTATAGAAAACTTTTCTGTGAATCACAGTTACTTCTAATTTTAGGGTTTAAATAGTTTTTACTTGAGAATCAATGAGCCATTTATAAGCCACACGGGTCTGCGTCACAGCCATAAATGAGACTCAGGAGCTACGCCATGGTTACTATCACTGCACTGTAACATTGTCTAATTAGAGAAAGAGTGCATGCAGCTGTAGAGTAGACATCAACTTAATTCTTTTCCTTCCTACTCTGTATTTCTTTACTAATTGTTATCATATTAATTTCTAAGATTTTCATCGCAGAAGTCTTATAATGAAGGCCCTTGTAAAAACACTTGTCAACATCTCTGATTACCATTATCTGCTAAGATACCTGAAATATATAATTTTACTTCTGCTCCTTTCCATTGACAGGCTCTTTTATCCAGCAATCATACTGTCATATACTCATAAACATACAGCCTACAGTAAACAGTTGTAATTATTTTCAAAGCTTTATCTACTTCAGTATCTCATTTCAGTAAACAGGATTAGCCTCTAATTACTCAAACCATAGGTATTTTTTTCTTTTATCTCATTTATTATTAAATCCATTACCTCAAGCAATATATATTTTTCATATTTACCCTTTTATTTACACCTCAACAATTCCTGCTTTTGTTGAAATGCTTTCATGTCTTACCTGGATAACTCCAACAGTCACTTTTTACGAGTTTATCTAAGTCCATGTTTCTCATCCTCTTCCTCCTGTCGCAGCATCCAGAGTGACATTTTAAACTGAAACCAGTGTCTGTCACTTTTCTATTAAAGCTCTCCAAGTGATGGATCAGTGGACTTGAAGTTCAAACTTCTTGTGGTGACCTGTGAGTCTCTACAGGAATTGGCTGAATAACTCTGAGTTGTTCTCCTTCCCTTGGTTGAATGTGGCCACAATGAACTTCTGTCTGTTCTTCAGTTATAACAGAGTTGTTTGGATTTGGCTCAGATATAGTTCCACAGAGATCATTCTTGAATATCCCCTCTAAAGAAACCTCATTCTGTGTACATTATTTGAATCGATTTTTATTCAAGTAGTCTGTTATCTGAGACAGAAAACAATACAGAAACATAACTTACCCTTAATTTCACTTTGCACTTATCTGAAATATGGTGTGAAAATATTAAGCAGAAAGTTCCACAAATACACACTTTGTAAGTCATAAGAATATTTTGTTACAGGCTTTTTATAATTCTGGTTCTATTCTATTAGTGACTGTTTACCTCTCATTCTAATTTTTACCTTAAACTTTATCATATATATGGTATATAGAGACAGAGGGAGAAAAAATAAGCTCTATACAGAGTTCAGGAGTATCCACAACTGTAGGCATCTTTGATGACCTTGGAATGAATCCACTGGACAGGCATAGTTACTGTGTTTCAGTTATCTTCTAATCAGCCTCTTTAGAGAGTTTCCTCTCCACAGAGTTCTGAATCCTAACTCCCTGGAGTGTCTCTTCTGAGTTCCCGTGGGTCCAACAATATCCAAACACTGGCTGCTCTCAGAACTCCTCCTTGTGGGTCCAGGGTCCTTCTCCAGGACCCACATGGTGATTCTTCCCTTATCCTTTCCTTTCCTAAGCCCAAAGTTAGCATCTGTGTCTTGACCTTACTACTTCATCAAGCCTCAGCACTGCTTCTGCGCTTGTCAGATTTATAAGACCAGGTTAACAATTCTCCACACTCAGTGACCTCTTTAACATGTTTTGTGGCTTCCGTCTCCTGACCACATTCTGACGATCAGACTAACTGGATCCTTGGCTAAGTAAAATGACCAAAGAAAAAAGAAGGCTGTATTTCAAATTATAAAGGAGTATTTGGGTTAATGGAGGGAGGAAGATGAGTGGTTTTGTGATGCTGCTTCCGGAGACACAAATTTTAACTCTTTGGTCAACAGAACAAAACAAACAGAAAAACAAACAAAAGAAAACCCCCACCTTTTGTTCGCTGTTTCACTGCACATTCTTGTGTTCTTGAATTGTTTGGTCAGGATTTTTACTGCAAAAGAATTAGAGAAGTGAATGTTCTGCATTATAATACTGAAGTGAAGAAGGAAACAAGATACTGCCGTTAGCAAGGCAATCAACAGCGGGGTCTGTTACTAAACTTACAAAAGTTTGTTTAATTTCTTTGAGTTTCTCTAGAACAGTAAAATAGTTATTTTGCTATGCTTATGCTATGTGCCCATTGATAAAATACAGTCATGTAAATAAAAATGCTTTTATAAGTACAAAGTGATAATTAATAAACATTAAAGATATATATTTCTTGAAAAGCATTAACATTTTATTTCTTAATTAAACGAAGAGTCCAGGCACATTATTAATCTGTGTTGATGGTGTTCTTCTCATCTCAAATGTAAGGTATATATTTTGAATCATTAACATAGCACATATTTTTATTTGAAGTGCTAGTTTCTGAAAGTCAGGAATGTTGTTTTACTTTCTTAGCTACCCTTGGATCCTTGGCTAAGTAAAATGACCAAAGCAAAGAGAAGGCTGTATTTCAAATTATAAAGGAGCGTTTGGGTTAATGGAGGGAGAAAGATGAGTGCTTTTGTGATATTGGTCCCAGCCTCTACATCAATGAAATAAACGTGCTGTCCTTCATGATATTATTGAGACCAAGCTTTGAGTGGGGTTTTATAAATCCATGTGTTGATTCTGAGGATATGATTAAAGTTATATGTAATTATTTGGCTCCAACATTTTAAAAAGTAAGCATAACACTCTTTGTAGTCATCAGCACTTAAAAAGTATTTTAAACACACTAAAATATTACTTTCTAATAATTTTAATATTTGTTCTTATTTAAAGCAAATTTAACGGGACAGTGTGATAGCTTTTATTCTGCAGTCAAGGTTGGGCAAGGTGGCCAATAGCAGAATGACATGAAGTGACCTGAAGCTAAAGTGTCAGTTTTTAAAAACTTTATTACCTTGGTTTCTTGGTTTTTGTGGAAAAAAATATCCTTGTTTTTCTCTTAGAAAATAAAGAACTGTTGAATGTGAAATTCTAGAGAAACATCTTGAGAGTCTGAGGGACCAAACAGGTGGAGACTGTGTTTGGACATAATTTTATCTCCTTCCTGATTCCGAGAAGTAGCTCATGGCGTCTGCAGTCGATGTCAGCTGTGGCTTTATCAACCTGTGCCAAAAGGATCCTCATGTAGAAATATATAGAAACTTTCCATTTCGGAAACAAGTTCCACATTGTCTTGTAAGATTTTGTGCCAGAAAAAAAATTGAATTCAATCCTTATCTATAGCACACCAAATATAGGAAAAATCCTGCTTGATCATGGTAGAAAACATCATTTGTTGAAGTAGTGATAATCCTGGGCCTCTCCCAGCTCACCCTTTATAGCATGAGGCATATGCTTGGGTGTGAACCAACCCTTCTTACAAAAGGAGGCACTGACAACAGAGCACAGCACCTGACATTCCTGACCCCTTCGTGCCAGGTAAATCTGAAAACCCTGCCACGCTAATCCTTTTGTTTGCATCTCCCTTGCCTCATTGTGATGAGAGACAGATAGCGGGAAGCCTCAGCTATTGCGGCTGTCTTGGCAGGAGCACTTGGCTGCTCTGTTCTCTGGCTGCTCGCTCTGACTGTTGGCAGGCAGAGGACGAACAGGCTGCAGAATCGACCCCATTAGTGTCAGCCTCATCCCCTGTAATGGGAGCCGCACTGGCCAAGACTAGGCAGCAGTCTCCGCCCCAGCCTCTGTGTAGTATGCCTCAGCCTAGCACAATATCAAGTTGGCAATAGAAAAGATGATAGCATTGTGTTTGCCGCCACCTTTTGAAGAAAACCAGAACAAAGTCATTGGCAGTTGATGTCAGAATTGGGAAGAAAACACATTTTCTTACCAGTGAAAGGGGAAGATGGAGATATATCAACCCATTGAGCTCTAGCAGTGCCTTTTTAAAAACAGTACTGTTGGAGCTGTCGGTATCATGGTATAGTCCCAGTGCTCAAGAAAAAATGCCAGATGCATTTTGAACGGGATTATGTATGTGTATGTGAGAGGAAAAGAGAGAAAAAGAGACAGAAACAGAAAAAGGATGGTGAGAAACACTCATATCTCACTTCACCAGGAAGGAGACATGTAAGGGAGAAAGGACCGGCAGAAATTTGTTTGCTGGAGGTGAAAGCTTTGAGACTGACGATACATGGTACTTAGGATTTTGGATTCATAAAAGTCCTTGGGAATCAGTTGTTAAATTCTGCTTCACAAGGAGTTGATTTTGATGAGGTTTCATGGTTCATTACTATGAATTAAAATTCCCAATAAGAGCCCACTAGAGGTTTGTACCCACTTATTCTGCCTTTCCATTTCAGGACACTTTTAATGTCAGAAAAAAATATATATGTAGATTTGATGCTTTGGGCAATAATCCATAGTCACCAAATTACAAATATCAGCAAAAACCAATCAATCACTGCACTGTTCGTCATGACAGTGGTGCTGTACTCCCTGAAAGGAATGAGCAATAGACGAGAAGCATCTGAAGACAGTCAGCTTCCTCTGTGTTCTTCAGCAGTAACAGCACAGCTCCCGAAAGCGGAAGCCCCTGGACGTTCTCAGCTGTGTCTCTGGAATGCTCATCCTGACTGACGTACTCTAGTAAACCCTGACACCCTCTGGTTCAGCTGCTGCTTGACGAAGCACCTGTGTGTTTACCTGTGGGCTCCAGACTAACAACCCAAGCTTATAGAAATCAAAAGCAAACCCTGTTGTGTTCACAGTTCGTGTTTCCACCTAACTCCTTGTTCGGACACCCACTTGACATATTTGCTCAGATTTTATGGGCAGCTGCCACACTGGGTTCTTGTTTGTTTCCACACAAGTTATCTTTTTTCTTTAAGAAATATAAGTGCTGAGACCTACTTGTTTAATTATATGGGGCTCCTCTGGTGACTCTGAATAATAAAAGTTTTTAGTAGGAAGTTATAGGTCATAACGACAAACCAGAGTAGCTGTGCTACAAAGTAATTAAGACCCTCATTTGGACACTTCTGTGCTCAGAAGAATGAGCCTTAGCATACTTTGCCCTAAACGATCTCCATTTACTTCCTATTTCCTTCCTGTAGCTACTGAAACCAGGCAGAAGAGAGGAATTCTTGATTTTGTGGAGAAAGATATTTAGTTTGGACTCTTGAGGAGGGCCAAAAAAAGAATTTTTTAACTTTTGCCCCTTGAATTTGGGACCATTTACATCCATTATGGTTTCACCCGATTCAGGTCATTGGCTAAGGAACTGGAAGGCAATGAACATGACGGAAACTTTAGATTCTAACAGAGCTGCTTCTAAGGGTGTACGAGTATGGATGATCTGACCACAATGGAAAAGACTTCAGCAGAGATTTTTATTTCCTGTGTCAGCAGCCAATTCTTATAGAAATGTCACACTGTCCATCTGGAATTTAGTTTTGTGATAAGAACTGTGCCAAACAATCTCAGACTTACGAGCCAAGCAGATTACATCCTCCTCTGCCTTCTAAGAGGCTCCAAATACGGACTGTGAGACACTCGCAGAGTAAGGCACATTTGAACACGAAGCCCAGGACTTCCAAGCTCAACATTTAAGCTTGATTATTCCTCAGGCCCCTGCATCTTGTCCTTTCCTGTGATTCCCTCTAACACTTTTCATGTTTGTACTGTGACCTAGAAAACATCACAGATGTCTTGTGGGTCAACCTGCTAGAGATGTCCTGGAAGCCGTTTATTTTAGACAAAGTAACAGCATTGCTGTACAGAGACAAGGAAACTAATTCCCTCTCTGTCTCTGTCTGTCTCTGTCTCTCTCTCTTTCTCTTCCTGTCTCTAACACCAAAAGAATGTGTGCACACTTCAGCAATTCACAGCAGTCTATCTTACTAATAAATGCCTGGAAGTTAATGCTCACTACTCTGACCACCTCTTGTAATTGTAGAGGCCAAAGACAACTTGTGTTCATCTCATGATGTCTCAATAAGTTTATTATTTTTTAAAATTTATTTTAAAAGTAAAAGAAGGAAAACATATTAACAGACAGCCATTTACAAAATAGCATGAGAACAACACAAGCAATACTGAATTACAGACAAAGTGGTAGGAAATTAACAATGGCTGTTTTATTATATAGTGATATCTTCAAAGTGGTTTCTCAGAAAAACAAATAGAGACATGCAAGATAGATCAAATAAGTAATCATTAACTGTTCCTTTCAGTAAGGTGATAGAAGTCAGTAGTACAATATGTTAGCTATCCTGTATATACATACATATGTAATTTCTCCTTCTTTCTATTCTCTTTTCCCACATCAATAAGTTTAATATTAAAATATATACACAAGTTTTTCTTTTCCTGATACTTTTTGGTGATATCTGTCTGTCTGTCTATCTCCCTGTCTATCCATTGGCACCTCATCTCATGAATTTAATTTTTCCACAATTGTGGAAAACACTGCCACTCCTGCGTTCATGCAGGATAGATAGCTGTGGTCCTAGTCATCATCTAATGCAGAGTTCACAAACAAAAAAGAAAATTTGTTAAATGTTTCCATTTGCAAACCAAATTATTGACAAACGAAGGTGCCAGGACCACTGTGTATACAGAATTTGCGCCCCCTCTTAGCCACTTTCAGTACTTTGTAGATACAAAAATGAATAGCTAAAAATAATCTAACATGGAGTTTTATAAAACACTCGATAGCTATCTTCTGCCTTTCATATAAAACTGTAATAAAAGGGAGTTTAAATCATAAATGACTTTGCCTTGCTATTGTATATATTATGTGATCACAGTAATAGTTCCTTCCTCATTTTTAAACACTGCTTCAAAACTTCTTCCATGTTATAGACTGAATCAAAAGCTTTGTAAATTACTCAACATTACTACAATGTACACACAACACAGGAAATGTCCATTTTTTGGCTGAGCACTTGTTTTCCGGTTTATGACTGTTATGAATAAAGTGGTTATAAATATTTCTGTCCAGCTGTTTTTGTATAC